GAAAAGACGGACAAGCAACAGAATTCAAAATTAAAATGACAATTAATTAAAAAAGAAAAAAGAAAAAGAAATCTATAGTTTATTCTGTAATCATTTATAATTAATAATTAGTGAGTGGATATATTTTTATGTATTACATATGGGAATGTTAATGTTTAGGGCTGCATAAATAATTTAAATATTCTTAAAATAAAGTGCAATATGCAAAGCGTAGCTACCAATAATGTTTTTAAGATTTAATGAAACATGTTTGTTTGGTACAAACTCCAAAAACATTTCACATTATCATGATTTCAGTATTTTTTTCATAAAAAAACAAATGTAATTTGTGATGCAAAAATGATTCCACACTATAATCATATCGCAATATCTGTCAAAATAACAATCTAACTTATGATATGAAGAGTCAGTTGAGATCAATATAAACTTACATTACAGGGACATTATGAATGTTGAACTTACAGTGTTATTAGAGATTAAAAAGAGATATTAAAGTGATACAACAAAACATAAACAGCAACGTAAAGTTCACACACCCACACACACACACACACACACACACACTGACCTTACAGGTGAATTCCTTAATCGCTTAAATCGGTGAGCTTCCGTTATCAACGTAAACACCGGAGTAACGTTTCGTGTGTGTGTGTGTCTCACAGTCACCGGAGAGCTGTCACCCAACGAACACGTTGCCACGGTAACGCCCCCCGCCATGCTCCGGGCAGCGATAGAACGTTACGTCAGCACGTTCTGTTCGTTCAGAACTCTGGTACGTCACTGTGGAATCTTTATTTTTATTTTTAACTGAAAAAGATTCGGCCAACAAATTCAGGTTTTCAGTATAAAGCGGTTTGTTTGTTACTTGGTCTAAAAACACAGCTGGTCTTCCCTGGGGTAATAATAATAAATAAATAAATAATATGACAAAACTATGCATAAAGACAAAAAAAATAAAAATAATTAAACACAAAAAAACATGTTAAGTGTTAATTTAAACGCAGAATATCAAAGAGTTTACATAAAGTTAATAGTTTATTTAAATGTTTGAATGTACAACAGTTTGAAGATAAATGTTCAGATATATATATAAAATTATTATTATAATTATATTATTATATTGACATTTCTACACAAATTAAAATCTATTAATACATACCATTTCTGTTGTATTATATATTATATTATTATATATTAATTATTATTATTATATTAAATATGTATGATTACATAAAAGATACAATACAGCCAGAGAATTATGTAAAAAGTTCCTACAATTATCAGAAAAACAAATAATCTGCTCAAAGTTCATCCAAATCGCTAGTTTGACACAAACTTCCTGCAGTTATCAGTTATTGTTATGAACTGAATATAATATGAAATATCCCTAAAATACATTACTTAGTTTACTCTGAAAAGGTTGGGAACCACTGAGCTTCCCTAATTATTTCTTTAAGAAACTTTTTGCAGCTTTAATTGATTATATATTGATTTATAATGATTACAGCCATGCACATATACAACTGAAGCTTAAAAAACAACAACCTTTCATCCAACACAAACTAACATCTCTAACAGCTCCCTTAAAAAGCTCACTGAGGCTCTCTACCGCCACCTGCTGTGATTTCTAGTGAACTACTACTACAGGTTACACTGGCGGTCTCATTTACAGGTAAAGTCTCCACTTTAGATCCACCTGGCTAATACTAATACAGTCAACAAATCCTTCATGGAGGTCAGTTTATGTTGAGAAAAATGCTGATGCCACTTTATTGTTATTACCCAATTCACAGTGAGAAGAACAAATTTGTGCATGAAATGAACGTTTCTGACCATTTTTACGGCTGTTTCTGCATCACATCATACCTTGTTGAACAGGTAAAGGAGCCATTTTGAAGAGATATACATTTAATAAATCACAACTTTATCACCAGTAAAACAACACACATTTAAATACTTTATAAATGAAACAAAAAAGACATTGAGGTTTCTCTCAGTCAAACAAACAGACAGATTTAGGAAAACTTAAGGTTTGTTTTTAACCTTATCAGTAAAACAATATACACATTTAATATACTTTACAAATGAAACAAAATAAATGTATTTAGCTTAACACCCAGTCTCTGTGAATGACTGTATGACACTATATTTATAGAAGTGTTTCTAATATTTTGTCCATCTAATTAACTGTATTTAATTTAAATTAAATCCACCATTAAGTTAAAGTTTGTTTTCATTATTAATGACATTCTTGTCATAATTATGACATCGTATCTCATGAGTAATGCATAAATACAAACATTAAACAAATAAGAGTTTGAAATGTGCAATATTAACTTCACAGACATAATATTACAACTCAATGTTATTTGAGAAGTGTATGAAGACCAACGTAAAACAAAGGATCTTTAAATTTACATCACATTTTTACATGTATGTTTTGGTTGTTTTGTTTGAAGATAAAAATCAATTCAAACCATCAAAGCATCAGTTAAAGGAACATCTGTGATAAGGTTTTAATGAAAAAATATTTATTTACATAAAAAATACAATCTGTGTACATTCCTGAGTAAAAACAGTTTGAAAATCAGCACGTTTGTGTGAGTGTGTGTGTGTGTGTTAATCCGGATTTTCTGCCAGTTTTCTGATTTCCTCCAGTAGCTCTGAGAAAGACGGCCGACCCTGAGCCCTCTACACCACCACGAAGAAGAAGAAGAACGAGAGTGATTAACAGAAGGTCATAAAAATTCAACATGTTAATATAACATTTTGCAAAGACACCTTCCGCTGCGTTCTGGTGAACAAAAATGAAAAAATTACTTTACGGTACTTTTTTTAGAATTCGATTTTTATGAATGAAAGAATAGTCGAATGTTCTTATTGAAGATTCTGAGTCGTCTATAGCCCTAAAAACAACTAAACCATCTCCATATCAACTGAGCAACTCAGTGTGCAGAGGAAGACCATTAAATGTGGCTGAAAGTAGACGTAAGTAGCCCTTGTGATTAGACATTTTTGTCAAAGTGTGAAAACTTCAGTTCCTTCCCTGACATTTTATAGCTGAAATAAAAACACTGAATGAGTGAAAGGTTCAGTGAGTACCTCGTGCCAGCAGCGGTACATGATGGCGTACAGTGGCTGTGAGGCGCGGTGTGGTCGGTACAGTCGGACTCCTCTGGTGATGTCGTTGACCACGTCCAAGTTGGTGCGGTTTTCAAACGGAGTCCGACCCTCCGAGTAGATCTCCCACATCAACACACCTGACAACACACAGAGACATATAAACATTAATACAACATATAAGTTGTATTTCCAACCTCTTTCCTTAGGGGAATTAGTTTATTAAACTGACTCAGTGATTTATTTTATGGATATTTCATATTATATTTGAAACTGTACAATGAACCCAAACTGAACTCTGCAAGGAGTTTGTGTTAAACGAGAGATTTGGATGAATTGTGAACAGATTATTTGCTGTTTTAGAGAACTTTTTATACAATCTGTCTGTATTATGTATTTTTTAAATAATTTTTAACAATCATCCAGACTTCTTTTCTGACAAATTGCTGAGATATAGGCCTACTGTGTAAATCTTCATTTAGTTTTCTTAAATGCCTGAAAATCCAGAAGGCCTTGTGACCCCCCATAAAGCTTTGGCGCCCCGTAGTGGTCACTGACGAAGAGATTATATTTTTACTTTATTTGGAACAAACGTTCATATCCAGTTTACTCACTGTTATCGTATCGAAAATCGTTATTCTTGAATTCTTGTACAAAATACTGATTCATATAATTCAATAATTATTCAGTTAAGAGCACAAAAAATATAATAATTCATCATTTTTGAAAAAATAAAACAAAAAGTTATGCATATATTTTTAACCTTTGGTATCCTAATTTTTATTTATCTTAAGCTTATGACACATATTTGTCTACAAAAGCTCCATTGAGTTTGGTTTTTCTGATTTGTATTTATTCAGATCCTGAATCTAAAAGCCTAAAGGTAGAAGGATGAGTCGTAAAATCACATCTACTAGGACAACATTTTTTTAAAAATGGCCCCAATGAAAGATGTGGGAGGGGGAGGAGGTTTCAGACACTGACTCAGAATACGTTAAAATCTGCTTTAGTTTTCAGTCATTTTAAACCTTAAAAGTTACAAATAGTTTCATATTTAAGAACTTAAACATAACTCCGACCTGTTTTTACTCAGTGAGTACATTTCTGTTTGTGTATTTTTATGCATTTATGCTTGTAACTGAGTTGTACCTACAACAGTAAAAACAGTATGAATTGGCAGTTACAAACCCAATAAGGAACTAATTAATAAATGTAATTAATGACAATAAAGTATTAAAAAGTATCATTATCTGTTACAGAAGCTTACTGCTATTATTATTATTATTACTGGTGCTGCTGTTACAGGAATTGCTGGCTCTGGTATTTCTATACTTTCAGTCCTAATTAGAGCGAGTGGATGGTGAAGTTCCTCACCGAAGGACCAGATGTCAGATTTGCTGCTGTATTTACTGTAGTGGAGAACTTCAGGAGGAGACCACTTCACCGGGAACTT